GAGGAAGGCCAGAGGAAGTCAGCCAAGCAGAGGCTGGGGCAGAGTGTTGCCCATGTCAGCGCATTCGCCCGGCTAGGCGAGGTGCGGGAGGCCGAGCCTGCCCGCACCCGGCGCTCCCGGTCTAACCGGCAGGAGCCAGCGAGGACGAGGGCCTCCCACCAGGAAGGGGAGGCAGAAAGCCAGCCCAGATTACCGGTGGTGAACCGGTTAACCATCCCAAACGACCGCGTCCAGCAGATGGAGGCGAAGCTAGAAAGGCTGGAAAAGAAGGTCGGAGAGAAGAATGACCGGGACAAACCCCTGGCAGGGTCCCCGTTCACCACAAGGGTCCATCTGACACCTTTCCCGCGAAAGGTCAAGATCGACGCCCCCAGATTCACCGGGAAAGAAGATCCGGAAATCCACCTGGACTCCTTCAACCAGAGTGCGACCATGAACGGTTGCACCGATGAAGAAAAGTGCCTACTTTTCTTCCAGACCTTGCGGAACCGAGCCACTGAATGGTTCAATAAGCTTCGCCTGGGAAGCATTGACTCGTTTAGTGATTTGGCCTCAAAGTTCAAGGCCAAGTTCCAGGAGAATTGTACTAAGAGGAAGAAGTTCACGTATCTTAGTACAGCCGGGCAGAGGGAGTCTGAGAACCTCACTCAGTTCCTTACCCGGTGGAAGGAAGAGGTAGACAAGGTGGAAGAGATGGATGACAAGACCGTCCTCTCCCTCCTCTTGAATGGCTTGCGTGCTGGGGAACTATACAAGGAGTTCTGCCGGAAACCCCCAGCCACGTACCAAGAGTCCTACCATACTGCATGGGAGTTTTCTGAAGCTGAAACCCAGCTCCGGGCAAAGAGAGAAGCTGAGCATGGTCACAAGCCCAAGCCGGTGCAAGTCAAGAAGGAAGAAGCACCGGGACCTAGCCGGCCGAGGCACCACTATGACCCGGTCATCCGAGTGGTCAATACAGAAGAATGCCAAGAAGTCCGGAAAGCACCGGTCATTCCTCCAGAAAACCCTACCGG